GTCACCCTCCTGGGTGAGAGGTCAGGGTCACCCTCCCGGGTGAGAGGTCAGGGTCACCCTCCTGGGTGCGGGGTCAGGGTCACCCTCCTGGGTGAGAGGTCAGGGTCATCCTCCGGGTGCGGGGTCAAGGTCACCCTCCCGGGTGCGGATCAGAGTCATCCTCAGGGATGGGGGGTCACTATCCAGGATGCGCGGGGTCAGGGTCACCTTCAGTGAGGAATTAGGATGGGAGAGTGTCTTTGCTGGAGACGGTGCACGTCACATCAGGCCCGTCCATCTGTGTCTTTCTGTGACTTGGAGGTGACTGGAAGTCACATGCCCAAGGCTGACCCAGGAGCCCTGGTGGCACAGTGGGACAAGTGCTATGCTGCTAACCAAACAGTCAGGGGTTCAAAACCACCAGCTGCTCCTCGAAAAGAGATGGACAGGCTTCCCGGGTAGAGATTTCCAGCCCTGGAGAACTGGCCCAGGGTGGCCGTGAGCCAGGACTGCTCTGTGACAGCGGGGAAGTGACGGAGGAGAAGCAGCTCTGGCATTGCAGTGGCTAAAGACGCTCAGGTGCTAACTGGAAGGTCAGAAGTTCAAATCTGCCAACTGCTCCAAAGAGAAAGACGAGGCGGTCTGCTTCGACAACGACGTCGGCCTTAGAATCCCTACGGGCTCCTGCGCTCAGTCCCGCAGGGTCGCTGGGAGTCGGGATCCACTCAACCGCAGTGGGTCTGCTTTGCTGGGTTTTCCCCCTAAAAACTCCATTTCAAAACAAGATCTCATCCACGGTAGGGGACAACTGCTGTTTCCCACAGGTGACATATCTAGGTGGCCTTGAAGTGGCAAACGTCTTCAGTAGGATCCAACCCCCGCCATGTCTCCCTGATTCAAACATCACAACCCTTGACCACAGGAAGCTCCAGACAAGCCCAGATCAGAAGCCCTGGCCAGATGCTGGATTGTTCTCTGTGGTCCTAGACATGGCTCTGCAACCCACAGCCAGGACTGCTGGTGCAGGTCCAATGACAGCAGCTGGCAGTGCCACGCGTCCAGGGAAGTGACAGGTGGCTGTGAGTTTAACCCTGTGACTGGTGTCCTTACAAGAAAAGAGGCACAGATGACAGCCGGGTGAAGACAGAGGCAGAGGAACACAGGCAGATGACCAGGAACGCCAGGGTCACTGGGAGAAGAGCAAAGTTTCCTGCCTCCAGCTGCTAGGAGCTCTGACCAGACACCTCCTTGATCACCTCGGCTCCAAGCCTGTGGTGTTTGTGATGGTGGCCAAGAGACACCTCACCATGTACTCTGACTTTGCCACTAATTGAACAAAAACTTCTCCGGGGCAAGGGAGACGCCGTGTACACCACCACCACCAGATATGGTGTGGTAGGGGGGTGGCTGCTCACTCTGTGACCACCTCACTGACCACACAGGCCCACGGACCAAACAAGGACATCCCATGGGGATGCTGGGGGACTGATCTTATTGCGGAAACACTCCATTTTACATTTCTCTATTGAAAATGGAATGCACAGGGAGCCCTGATGGCCTAGTGGCAAGATGCTGCACTGCAGTCCCAGAGGTACACAGTTTCGAATCCACCAGATGCTCCGCTGGAGAAGGAGGGACAATTTCCTCCTGTACCAGTCAGATCTGATTTGATGGTATACAAACAAAAAATTAATAAATTTTTTTTTAAAAAGGAAAGCATGACTCCCACAGTGGTGGCCCCCTGGGGGACTCCAGAGACCACACACTCAGGCCCCAGGGCCCCACTGAAGGATGGTGGAGTAAACAACCTGTGTCCAGACCACGAGATTGGTTTCACCTGGGCCCTTGGTGCCCACCATACAATATGGGGGTTCTGGTCCCCATCACCCCAAATCCTACAGCCACACACAAGACAGCAGTTAGCCCATGATGATGGTCTCCTCATCATCCTGAGTCAGGGTAGAACTTAGGGGGTCAATTCTCCTAGGTAAAGATGGCTCGATCATGGGTGCTGCCTCTCAGGCCCCACCCAGCCCCATGCCTTTGGGGGTGTCCTCCTTGGGGGAGGTCATGGTCAGCAAGCTCTTCTCCCTTTTACAGGTTGTTTCCTTGGTTGCCACACTCCTCCCAGAGTCTCCTCCAGGCATACCTATCACCGGGCACCTTGGATGCCCACGGGCTGGGGCCTCTCATGCCCTGGGGATGGTGGTCAGTGGAAGTGGAGGCCTAGCGCTCTGTGGCCTGGAGAGGTAATGGCTCAGCGGGAGGGCCCACCTTTGAAGAAGACGATCTTGTGGTCAGTGGTGCGTTCGTACACAGCGTCCACGCTGTCCAGGTGCAGGGGCAGCCCCCGCCAGAAGCGGTGCATCTGCGCAGGCCGCAGTGACACCAGGTGCCGGTCCCGGGTCAGCCGCCAGAAGTACTTGCCTGGAGGGGCAGGTGTGGGGCTGGGGTCTGGCCTGGGGGGTGGGGCGTGTCCCCATCCTCCCAGCGCCCAGCGTCGCACCTGCCCGCTGTTACCTTTGAAGAAGAAGGCTTCCCCGCGGATCTGTGCCACAGCATCGAAGTGTGTGTTGCACCTGTGGGGCACGTCTTTCCTCGGCCTGTGACCGGAGCCAGGTGAACGGTCATGCAGGGGGGATAGGACAGGGCAGGCTGGTTAGGGAGTGACCAGCTGTGACGGGGCGTGGCCAGCTGTGCTAGGGGAGGGGGTCGTTAGGAGTGGGGTGAAGGGAGGGTGGGGCAGTGGAGTGGAGGTCTCCCCTCCATTCCCTTCCCATGAGGGATGGGGAGCAGGACGTAATGTGGGGCTGCATGTCCTTGGTACTCTGTGTGTGTGCACGCGTGTGTGCACTCTGGGACATGCTAGGGTGTCACGTGCTATGAGGTGTGGCACAGAAGGTACAGGATGTGGTGAAGAGCCGTGTGTGTATGTGATGTGCTGGGGACTGCACGTGCTGTGTGACAAGGTGTAGGGGGTTGCACGTGCTGGGGCATCACAGCAAGGTGGGTGGGCTTTGGGGAGGAAAGGGCTCCAGGTGCTGGGCACAGGGTGTTCTGGATGGGAACCAGCTGGGAGGAATGTGCCAAGCTAGAGGTGGTCCTGACAGGGGACAGGATAGATTGGGTGGACACAGCTAGGTAGAGAGGTGGTTAGGGGTTAGAATGCCCGAGAGTATGGCAGAATGAACAGAAATGTAGAGGTTTGGGGCGAGGCTGGGGGTCACGACAGCAGCTCCCTTGTCCCCAAGAGAGCAAAGGCCAATCTGTCCTGCGCTCAGATAACCCCCAGACTCAGGGATGGAGGCAGGCTTTGCAGCAAAGGAAGTACATGGACACCAGCCCTAGTCCTCAGTCAGGGGAGTGGAAGTCTAAGAGGAGGTTAACCCTGAGCCCTCAGCTGTCCATACAAAACTAACGCTAACCCTCACTCCCAACTACCTGCACAAAACCAACCCTAAGCCTGACTCTCGGCACAAAGCCCGAGAGTGTGTCCACAGTGGCGTCACTGGCGATGGCGAGGGACCAGGGGCATCTCAGCTCAGCATCCTACAGCTGTGTGTAATGTGAAGACAAATTTTATACAGCTCGAAGTCTTTAAATCTACGCTGATGGCCGTGTTTTGAAAAGAGAAGAAAGAAAAATGAAAATACAGCTGTTTGGATCACAGAGCTTCCTAGGTCCTGTGGGGTCAGGCCGTGTCTGTGTGGGACCCAGGTCCCCAGGGAGCACTGAGGGCAAGAAGCAGGGTGTGACATGCATCACTGGGCTCAAACTTATGTCCCCTTCTATGACGCGAAGTCTCTGGAAAGCTGAATAAATGTGCCCAGGACAGTGCTGGTCAGTGGGGAGAAGAAACGATGGGTCACTGCACATTTCTCACTCCCTTTAGAGATGCTCCCTAGAGAGCTCTGGTGGCCTAGTGGGTAAGGAGCTGTGCTGCTGACCCAAAGGGAGGCGGTTCAAACCCTCCAGTGCTCCTTGGGAGAAAGACAGGCCATCTCCTCCTGTGTGATTTACAGCCTCTGAAAACCTATTGGAGGGTCCAGTGTGAGTAATTTCTGACTTGAAAGCAGTAGCTTTACGTTTTGGGTTGGTTTTTTTTTTTTAAATCCCTTTCATGCATGAAAACAAAACAGTAGTAACACTGCCATTAAGTGGGTTTCGACCCACAGCAGCTCTGCAGGACAGGGCAGAACCCCCGGCAGGGTGTCTGGGGCTGTCAATCGTTACGGAAGCCGACTGCCACGGCTTCCTCTTGTGAAGCGGCTGGTGGGCTCAAACCCATGACTTTTCTCCCCAATTTGGTTAGCAGCCAAGCACTTTAGAGCTGCACCACCAGGAAGTTCAAGAAAAGACATGCCACATCACTCAGCTCAAGGCTTACAGCTGACAACCCAGGGCTGTCTACTCTGGATGGGGACCTCTTGAGAGGGACAGGGGCACAGCTGACTTACAGGATGCTGGTCCGGTTGTCAGGGGTGTCCGGCAGGGGAGGTGGCTCCTCAGGTTCTGGGGGTCCCGTGGGGGACACAGACTCTCTCACACCTATGGGCAACAAGGAGGAGAAATATACGGACTCATGGGACTGCCACCCTTCCTTCTCAAGGTCTGGGGAGGAAGTACACCCTCCCACCTCCCCCTAAGCCCCACCCCTGTCAGGCCCTTCGGTGGGTGGAGGAGGCATAGGCCCTGCCCCACACAGGTGGGCCCTGCTGCAGGGTGACCCCAGAGACTGAAACAGGTCATCATAGACACCCACACGCACTGTCCACTGCTGTCCATCCATGGGAGACACCAGGTGAAACGAACCCATGTGTCCACCAACATGCAATGCATGTGTGCTTACTGATGTACAACACATGTGACTTGTGTGTGTCCAGCGACACACAACACACACGTGTCCACCGATGCATGACACATACAACACACATATCTGAAGTACACATCATCTCCACATGCGTCTGTAACACCCAACACATGTAACATGTGTGGCTGCAAAACACATGCAACACATGTATGTACAACTCACATGCCCACAGACACACAGCACACATGACATACATGGGTCTACTAACATACAACACATGTAACATTCACTTGTCCATCTGGATCCACCAACTCTTATTACCATGCAACATGTGTGACACACCCGTGCCCATCACCATGCAAAACGTGGTGCATACACTGTGAACGCCACTCAGCCACAAACAGGAAAGGTCTTGACACAGGTTGACACACAGGGTCCTCAGACACACTGGCTGCGTGAGTCAGACGTGCTCTGGTTCTCACACCCAGTGGGGACACTAGCACCACCTGCTGGCGGTGATGTGCACTGTGCACCAACAGAGACCTGGTGGTGTGGAGCTGGCCCCTTAGCACCTCATCTCGTGGGCTGCTAGCCACCCCAGGGCGGGCTCACCGTACAGCTGCCACACCCGCACGCGGTCCTCATAGGGCAATCCGTAGCGCAGGGGGTCACCCACTGGACCCTGGTAGTACGGCCGCATGATGGACTGGGTGGCGGCAACGTGGCTCAGCCCGATGGCGTGGCCGAACTCATGGACGGCTACTGCAAACAGGTCCATCCCGTGGGCATCTGGGAGACGAAGGCTGTGTGAGCTCGACTGGGGGATAGGCTGTGGGTGGGTGGGTATGAGGCAGGTCCCCAGCTGTGGCCCCAGTGAGGCCTGCAGGGGCTTCTCAGGCTGGGTCCCCCAGCATCCTGTGCCACTAAGATGTCTTTCCACATGTCAACTGTGTTGACCGTGTGCACATAAGCATGGCCGGCTGAGGTCAGCCGCTGACAGAAGGCCCTCAAGTGAGGCAGACACATGTGTGGATAGCGCAGGGCTGTAGCTATGAGGCAGGCTGTGACTGTCCCCAGCCTCTCTGAAGTTGGAGGGCCCCTCCCCAGCCTGGCATCCCCCAGAGTCCAGTTATGGGGACCCAGGTGCTGCACGCCGCCCAATGCACCTGAGGAACGGAAGGTCCATGCCTCGTCATCATCAAAGTGGGCATCCCCTGCAGCGTGGTGGCTGCCGGGGAGGAAGGCGTGGGCCACTGTGCCCCCGGGGCCGTCAAAGGGGTAGCCGTCGTCATGGTCGGCCCTGGAGAAGTCGATCTGGATGTCAGCTGTGCTGCCCGCAACCTCGTGGAAGTTGAGAGGGGCGATGTCACTCCAGACCTTGAGGGCATAGTACATGAGCGCCCGCACCGTGTCCCGGCCCAGGGCAGAGTCCCTTGGAAACGTTCGGACCCTGCAGAGGGAAACAGAGAGCCGGTGCTGGACACCCTCCCTATGGGAAGAGGACATGAATGTCCACAGGAACCCCACAGGACATGGGGTCCCCATGACTGCTATCTTCACAGGAGCAAACGGCCTCATCTTTCTCCTGTGGAGCAGCTGGTGGGTTCAAACCGCTGACCTCACAGTTAGTAGAGGAATGCTTAACTGCTGTGCCTCAGAACTCTTGGTGAGGGTGGGTCTGATCCAAAAATCTAACCAAAACCCACCATCAAATTGCCTCTGGTCGCAGTGACCCCACCCATTCAAAACTGGGCTTCATCCTCCATCAGGTTTCCAGTGGATGAGATGGACAGGCCTGTCTTACGAGGTGCCTTGAACCTCCAACCTTTGGGTTAGTACCAAAGGTGAGGAGGACTCAAGGTCCTTCTGAGAAGAGGATGCAGCCATGACCCGAGCAGGTAGGGGCTGCTGGAGATGAGGAAGGGTCTTCTCCCTGGACCCGCCCTGTGAACACGTGACCTCCAGACACTGACCCCTGCAGTTGTGAGCCCCGCCCCAGACCTCACCCACCTCCAGGAGAGGTTCCTCTTGTTCCACTTGGTTGGGGTGGGGGCCTGGCGTCTCCGTCGGGTGGGGGTTGGGGTGGGAAGGTCGGGGAGGGAGCAGCGTGGGGTCTTCATCAGCGCTAGGGTGGCCTCATCTATGGAAATGAGGAGGGGTCAGGGCAGGTCAACAAATGTCCCCATCAAGCTATGCTACCCACCCACGTGCACCTGTTTCCTCCCCATTCCCTCCTTCCCACCCTGATTTGTGGGTCAAACATGACCACTCATGGTCGGTTCCAACTTTTGCAGGTGAGCACTATGCTCCTCATGGACCTGGACTGGAAGACATCCAAAGTAGTCACTAAAGCGTGGCACGGACACCGGACAACCAGAACAGTGAGCCTTGACTAGTCAGAATTAGAGTGATTGAACCTTGACCAATCAGAATGGTTACTGATAGGACCCTGGCCAATCAGATGGGACTTGGCTTAACCCTGGCCAATCAAAAGAGCATGTCTGAGTCTAGCCCGAACAGACCAAACTAGCAAGGCCTGGAGCAATCAGCTCTGGGGTTTGGCAGAGCTGTGCATCCTTGAGGGGCACGCTGCCACCAATGTGGTCCTTGCTCCAGGCCCCTCAATTAACCAGTCACACCTGTCTACCTCTGTCTACACACAGGTGTTTGCCAGTGATTGGGAGAACCGGCCCAGCAAGTATGATAGAAACCTTGGTGGTCATGGGAGGAATTCAGGCACCTTGTGGTCACCCCAACTTGTGGGCACCCTCCTGAAGCTGAGAGCTCTTGTGGCATAAACGGCTGGACACTCATGGGGTGGGTGTCCCCTAGGAGCTCCCACTAAGGAAGTCTGGCTCCATGGACACCAAGTTTGGGGTCTTACTGCATTGTAAGGGTTAGTAGTCAGGGGTGGTGGGAGATCTCACGTCCCCTGCCACCCTCCCAGGCGAGGGGAAGTGGACAGAACCCAGGGTAACGGTGCCAAAGAAACTGCGCAGGACATCAGGCAGGAAGCCCCTTATCCATCGCCCGGGGGACTGACCTAGCACACCAGTGGCCTCCAGGCCCCCAAACTGCTGCATGGCTGTGATGGCCTTGGACAGCTCCTCCTGTGTCTGCAGCTGCCCTGTGGCGGGGTCGGCGGGGGGCAGGTAGCCGAATCTGCTCAGCCACTCCTGTGTACAGAGAGCTGAGTGAGGGGTGCGGATGAGGGGTGCGGGTGAGGGGTGCGGTGGGGGCCTACCCCCTCAGACCAAAAGGGCCACCCTTAGTCCACAAAATCCTGATTCTAATTGATGTCAGATCAGCTATATCACAGCACACACGATGCCGTGTGGGTCCAGTGAGCTAGTGCAGTGCACAACCCAAGTAACCATCCCTTACTCCTTCTTCAGGAAGAAGTAAATAAAGGCTCCTAAACCCAGCCAGTGCCGACCTGACAGAGCCGTGGCCATTGTGAGAAGACACAGGATGCCAGTTGCAGGCTCTGAGTGTGCAAGCAAAGTCAGCACGTGTGCACACACACTCTCACACGTGCACATGCATGGGCACCTGTACACATATCTGTGCACACCCTCCCCATGTGCAATCTCACACATCTGCAGAAGCACGCACACATATCCATGTGCACACACATCCATGAGCACACTGACATCCTCACACACGCATACATGCATACACATAGCCGCACACATAATCTTGCATATGCACTGGACACATGCTCACCACGCCACACGCACACACATACATGGATGCACCTGCATGCACACCCCACTAGGAGGCCTCTCTTGCTCACACTGCACTGTGAGCACCCTTCGTCTGGCACCATGCACCTGCCACCACCTCCAGGAAGCTCCCTTGCTGAGGAGGGTCTGTCCAGGTGAGTGCTTCAGGAGAGGGGGAGCAGAGCTGGACCCTCGGGGGAAGTCCAAGCCTGGTGGTCACCTCCCCACCCCTGCCTGGAAGCTCAGTGATACTGGGCCTTGATCTTGAGCAGCCCTGGGCTCCGCTCCTCCGGAGCTCTGATTCAACAAGGCAGAAGCCATCCCACTGGTCCCAGGGAGACTTCCCTGACCTACATGCCCTCGGGCCAGTCCTGGGCCCTGGGGAGATTCCACATCCCACATGGCCCCAGGCCAGCTCTGGGCCCTCAGGGCTTCTGAGCAGAGCAAGCTTTAAAGGCAGGTTTGCCGGAGGCCAATGTGGCCCCCCTCTGGCTTACATGATGATAACAGCCCCATCCTCACATCCCTTCATTCCCTTCACAGGACCCTCCTCATACCCCTGACCTCCAGGGCCATGGAGACCCCCAGGGGACGTCCCGGGCAGGATGAGCCCCTGCTGGGCTTGGGGTGCAGGTAGTTCTGCATCTCTGGGGTACAGAGATGAGGGGCCTGTCTTGGTCTGGGGGTGAAGAAGACTCCCGAGTTGTCCCTGAGCAAGTAGTGAGAGGGGCTCAGAAGGGGATGTGCTGCTTGTTCCAGTGATCAAAGTCAGGGACACTTTGGTCTGAAAGGTGAAGACAGTGTACAGTTCCAGTGGGATGGAGGGGGGTGGGCATGTGGCCCTCCCCAGGGACAAAGGCTGCCCAAGCCAGGGGAGCTGCTCTCGGGCCAGGCACCCTACAAAGGGGCAGGAGCTAGGGTGGGGTGGCCTCCACCTCCAAGCATCCTGGCTGGCAGCATGCCTCTGCCTGAACTCCTCCCCAGGGGGAGTACCCCCTTCCTGCTCCCCACCATTGGGTGCCTGGGCAGGGGTGGCGTGTACACCCCTATTTCAGACAGTTCCTCTTGTTCCCTGTAGTGGCAGGCACTCAGCATGCAGCAGACCGTCAGGTCCTAGGAGGTCCTTTCCCCACCCAGCCACTCCCACCCACTGTCTGGTCCTGCCTCCATCGTCACCAGGCGACTGCGGTCTCCAGGCAACGGGAGGCTGCTGCTGGGAGGGCTGTGCAGCAGCCGAGTAAACCTTCCGGAAGGCCACAGGAGAGGCTTCAGGAGTGTGAGGGGGCAAGAAGGGAATCCCAGGGCTGCGGAGCCCCAGTGTCGGTAACGGTGACTCCTACGACCCTCAGGGAATCAACCCAAGGTCCATGAGCTGGCCACTACTGCAGATGGTGAAACTGAGGCCAGGTGGTGAATCTGCGGAGTATCTTCCAAGCCTGTGGCCAACACAGTGGGGCTGCCTGGCTCCCTGGCCACCCAGCACCAGCACCTTGCTCTGCTCTGTCACTGTTTGTCCTAATGTGGTGGTGGTGTTACCGCGTCACAAAGGTGTCATTTACTCGCTGTTAAATGCAATTCAGTGACTTTAGTACATTTAGAGTACTCTAACTATTAATCCCAAGTGTGTTCAGTGACACATGCTTGGTGGGTTAGGGGCGGAGGGATGGAGAGAGATGGTCAATGTCGGAGCGTAGGGGTGAGGAGGAAAAATAAGGGGCAGGGATGGAGGATGAAGATAGGGGAGGGATGGTGAGGTGCTCGTTTGGGCTGCACATGAGAAGGTTGGGGTCTCTGCTGGGGGCAGGCACATTCTGAACTAAATACCCCATTTGGCCTCTTGACAACCCCACAATCCATTGCTGCCAGACTAATTTCACAAATGAGCACAAGACACGGGAGAGGCTGGGCTGACTTGCTGGTGAGGGGGAGTAGGGCTGAGTTTGGGAGGAGACATAGGGTCCAGCCGTAACTCCAAGGCAGCAGGCACTCCTGGCTCTCTTGATGTCCATACCCATAGCCCCTGGTGGTCATTGGCAGGATGTGTCAGGAATTGTCCATCACACCCCACATCTAACCCAACCTAAGCAGCTGGAGAAACAGGCTTAGAGGGCACAGAGGGCAGCGCCACCCCAAGGCTTGGCTAGGCAAAGACACCCCCCCCCCCGGGTCCCCAGCAGAGTTCCCCATCCATCCCTTCTTCTCAGGGATGCGGCCTGATGGGGTAATGTGACTATATCTCCACATACAGACACTACCATGGTCAGCAAAGCCAGGTATCCTCCTGTCATGCCCACGGGGGAGAGCACTCTGGACCCCATACTCAGCGTCTTCTGCAGGGAAATGCTCACAGACCCCCGACTGTTCAATTTCACTCACCTGGTGCTGAGCCAGGGGCTGTGGGAACCCTAGGGCGGGGCCCACTACTGGGAGCGGGCAGTCCTGGGGCGGGCAGCGATAAACAGGCAATCTGCCACGTGATGAGTGGATGTCGCCTCGGTGATAGAGGATGGTCCCTCTAGGTGACACAGCAGTTCAGAGGGGCCCACGGGAGCTATGGGGCTGAGGTTCCTGTCTTGTCCCACACCTGGCACACAGTAGGTGCGCAGCAAGCTTCTGCTGAATAACAAACCTCGTGAGGCAGCCACTCCTACTGCCCCATTTTACAGGAGAGAACACTGAGGCACAGAGTAGGTCACAGGTCTGAGGGCTCTTCTTTTGCCAGTGGAGCAGATGGTGCGTTCAAACCATAAACACTTCATTAGCTTAACCACTGCACAGGCGAGTCCCCTTTACCAATAACCAGAAACCTGGACTCTGGTCCAGGAGACTCTAATCCCAGAGGGGGACAGTGTGGAACTGCCCGGAGCACCTCCTCAGCTTGGTCCCTATGGAAGCTAACTGCCTTGTCTTTCTCCCACAGAGCAGATGAAGGCTCCTACAGGGACAAGCAGGTGACAAGGGCCAAGTGCAGGCACAGGCCAGAGTTATCTGAGGTTTGAGGACTAGGGGTGAGCGTGTGGAAATGGACAGAACCCACCAGACAGGAGACTGAGGCACAGCCCTGTTTGGGGCCTTGCTGAATGGACCCAGCACATCCTCGGCTGTCACACTGTGTGCCTTCAACTCTGGCTGCTCACAGGTGGGATGCCCCCAGATCACTGTCCTTCCTGTTTTGATTCAGGCTGACAGCTCCAAGGTGCACAGGCTGTTGGCATGAGGGGACGTTCCTGCCCCAGCCAGGCTTACAACACACTGAGAGCGGCTGGAGACAGGGCCACAGTTATGGCTAAGTGTGAGGGTGGTTGTCACCACACCACCTCTCCGTAGACATCTCAGGGAGGCAGCTGCCTCACCCAGTCCTGTCGCTTTCCCTGGCCCTTATCCTGCAAGATGCTGACCCAGGAGCCAGAAACCTATCTCCTGCATGTCCTCATACCCTGACCCCCAAACTAGGAAGTTATGTCCCTACCCCTGGCAGGAGGTGAGTCCACTGGGTAGCAGAATAATGGACACCCTGTCAAGTCCACTTTGGCTCAGCAGTGCCCTGACTATAGGACTGCACAGGGAAGATGCCTCCCAGGATGGGGCAGGGGCTTGTCCCATATCCTATGTGCCTGAAGTAGGGCCAGACAACTCAACATCAAAGGCTAACAGGTCCAGGACATCCTCAGGCCTCCTGTCCTTTGCCTCCCAGGACTTCCAGCAGGGGCCAGTCTGTGTCCTGTGTGGTGACATTCCCGGAAGGAGGAATGAGGTGACAGTGCTTGAAGTGGGGTGTTCTCCAGGGTGGCACCAAGTGCCTGGTGGCTGCTGCAGAAAATGAGGGTCAGGGATATCCACAGGGCACGAACAAGATTTTTGGTGAACTGCAGGACACTCTAGAGAGCGGGGACCAGGGCGGAGGAGCACCCCCAAGTCTCTCTCTACTAGAGAGCCTGGCGGGAGCAGGGGGCTCTTTTGTTCCCACTGTGGCCAGCGCACCAGGGGTCACCCCGCCTTTGTCAGGATGCTAATCTACGGGGCGGGGCGAGGATGTCCACAGAGCCAGGCACAGTCCCAACTGGAGGGCTGGGTCTGCTTACAAAGGGCTCTTGTCCTCGCTGCGGCCCCAGACCTGGTGCCCATCAGGTCGCTGGGGTGGCCGAGCCCCGCCTCAATCCGACCCGTTCCCGCCCCCACGCGCACCGAGCGCCGTTCCCGCGGCCGCCAGCAGAGGCCTCCCTCCGCCCACAGACCGAGGAGGCCGCGCTCCCTCCTGGCGAAGCCCGGCCCGCAGCGCCTGCGCCTCCACCCACCCGGCCGGCCGACCCCGCCGTCCGCGCCCGCCGCTCCCGGGCTCAGCGGCTCTCAGGCGCCGGTCGCAGCAGGGGTCCCAGGGCTCGGGCTCCCGGGTCGGAAAGGACGGGTCGGGGGAGGAGGCGAGGGCTGCGTGGTCCTGCCGGGGTGGTGGTGGGACCCGTGCGAAACTTCAGGACGGCCGGGCCTGACCGCGGGCTGCACGAGAGGGGCTCCACGGGCCCCAGCCCCGGAGCGTGCTCGGTCAGCCTCTGACGGGCCATAGATGAGGGCTTGCTTTTCTGTTCCCACCAGCTGGAGAAGTCACCCCAAGGTACGCGCCCCAAGAGTGCAGGATCTCCCTACTCCAAAAGGGAGCGAGGACAACAGGGGGCGGGGGACGCCGGGGGGCGCCGCAGCTGGAGCGGGCAGGGGGGCTCCCCGGGCTAGGGCGGCGCGGACGCGGTGCCGGAGGCTGCCTTCCCGGACCTGTGGCCACGGGCCCGCAACGCCTCCTTCGGCTCCGAATCCCGGACCCCAATGCCGGAGCGCGGATGGGTGCCAGGCAGACGCGGCGCCAAGCCGGGTCCCTAGTTGCGTGTGTGTGGGGGTGTAGGCTAGGAGCTCCAGATCTAGCTTGTCCCCTAGAATCCCTCACTCCGCCTGCCTGGCCGATATTCACAAAGTCGGGCCAGAGGAGGGGACCCCGATCCCGACCCCGGGGCTGCACAGGAGAGACCGCTGGCCCTCGCCAGGGGTGTCCCTGCAGGTGGGACAGCAGGCCATGCGAGGGGCCGCCAGGGAGGGAGTGGGGTACACTGGAGCTTGGGAGGGATCCCGGGAGGGGTCCCACCCGGCTCAGGACGGAACCTGGGAAGACAGGCAATGGGGCACCTCAACCTCATGCCCAGTGGGGGCGGGGAGGCCGGCGCCCACACCCCGCAGCCCGGTTCAGAGCGCGCCCTGCCACTCACCCGGGAGCCTGCCTCTCGGGGCGCCCCTCACAGCAGCCCCTTACTCACAGAGCCGAAGTGGGGTCTCTGGCCCTGCGCCCCCACCCCGCAGGCACCTGCGCTGCGGGCGCCCTGGGCGCCCTGGGCCCCTTCCCTCCCCACACTGGGGGTCGGCCCACATGCGGCTCTGTCCTCTGGTCCGCGGCCCGGGCCTCAGCGGTCCTGCCGGGGAAGTGGTTCAGGCTTGGGGTCTCCTATCAGCACCCCCTCTCCCCCGTGCGCACTCACCACTCCCAGGCTAAGGTCTTCGGCGCGGGGCGCGGGCGCAGCGCACCCTCCGCGGG